CCCCCACCCCACCATCCTCCCCCACCATCCCCACTCCCACCCCAGGGGCACTCCGGGGAGGCGTGGCTTTCCTAGTGGCATGGCCCTGTTTCTAAGCTTTACTTAAATGACACAAGCATACGTTTCCCTAGACAACTGCTACGCTGAGAAACTTGGCCGACTCACCGCTGACGAGAAGCAGGCTCCTGAAGGTCGGGGCCTTCCCCCCGCTCTGCACAGTGATGGAGCAGTACATGGACGACAAGGATGTCTGCACCAACATCGCCAGAATATTTAGGTAGGTAGACCGAATGTGAAGACACCTCGTTAAAAGTGCTGTACTGGGGGTGGGCTGGGGGGAAGGCAAGGGGAGGAGCAAGAGGGGGGAGAACAAGGGAATCCGTGGCTGATATGTAAAATTAAATTAAATTATATTTATAAAAAAAAAGTGCTGTACTGGTCAGTTTTCGTGACTCTCTCATAGAGTCACCAGGGAAGTGGAAACCTCAGTTGAGGAATGGCCTCCATCAGATCGGCCTGTGGGCATGTCTGTGGGACATTTTCTTGATTAATGTGGGGTGGCCCAGCCCACTGGGCAGGAGGGCCTGGGTTATAGAAAAGGTAGACTGAGCGAGCTATGGGAGGTAAGCGCTAAACTGCATTCTCCATGGTCTCTGCTCAGTTCCTGCCTCCGCGTTCCTGCTTGAATGTCCGCCCTGCCGTCCCTTCCCTCACTGATGGACTGTGACAGGGAGACATGAGCCAAACAAGTCCTTTCCAAGTTGAGTCAGTGTTTTATCACAGCAAAATAGAGCCGATGCTAATGTACATTTTGAGTTCTCTCTAGTATTTGTGTGCCTAACTAGAAAGGAACTTTCCCCGCTTTGAGTTCGTCTGCAGCCAACACCGTGAATGTAGATGAAAACACCCGACTCAAGCTGGTTTCTTGTGTGAGTGTAATGCCACTCTAGGCTGGCTGTCAGGTACTTAGCACGCAGGAAGGCTGTGAACTAGCCAAATGCGTGTGTTACTTTGCTCGCCTGTCTTCTTTGCCCCTTGGAGACAAAGAACGATGTCCCACAAAACATATCACAAGTTTTGGCGTACCGGATATAACACTCAAGTGCTTTATCTCAAAAAGGAGATTGCTGATTCAAGTCTGGTCTGGTTTAATTTGTAATTGTTATTTTTGAAAGGTCTCTGATAGGAGTTCAAGAGGGACATTGAGATAGACTGCTGGAGTATAGAGTTCATTAGAAAATATTAATGCTATGGAAAGACAGACAGATAGACAGCATGGTGGGTGTAGTTGGAGGTTTTTTTTTTTTTTACTCTTTGAAGACCCACCACCCAGCTCCCAAAGAAATACACAGAGACTTATTTTTACTTATGAATTCCCAGCCTTAGCTTGGCTTGTTTCTAGTCAGCTTTTCTAACTTAAATTATCCCGTTTCTCTTTAACTATGTTTTGCCTCTGGGCTTTTTACCTTTCCTTATCCTATATGCCTTTCCTTCTTACTCTGTGGCTGGCTGTGTGGCTGAGTAGCTGGCCCCCTGTGGCTGGCTGTGTGGCTGAGTAGCTGGCCCTGGCGTCCGCCTCTCCTTCTCCTTTTCTAACTCCTCACCCTCTTCCCTAGGTTTCTCCTCCTGTTTATTCTCTTTGCCTGCCAGCCCCACGTATTTCTCTCTCCTGCCTAGCTATTGGCCGTTCAGCTCTTTATTAGATCAATCAGGTGTTTTAGACAGGCAAAGGAACACAGCTTTGCAGAGTTAACCAAATGCAGCATAAAAGAATGCAGCTCATCTTTGCATTATTAAACAAATGTCCCACAGCATAAACAAATGTAACACATTTTAAATTAATACCACACAGCAGGTGGGAGCTGTGAAGAGAGGAATAAGAGCCCGCCTGGAAGGAGTGGTGTCTCTCCTTATACCTTTCTGAGGATGAGCACGTTTTTACAGCGCACACCTGTGGCCAGGCACTCTGGGTCCTGGGCAGGAGGCAGGAAAGGGTGTGGGGAGCGGGATAAATATCCAGTACCCTCTTTTGATGTAAACTCACTTCCCCGGGTGAAAAGCCCTGGCACCTGAAGTCCATAAGGCAGAGATGGGCAGACAATGCTCTGTGGGTGCTGTGGCTGTCTGCCAGAGGGCAAAGCTGCTGTGTGGACTGTGGCCAGGACAGCTCAGTGCTAGCATTACGTTCTTAGAACTTTGTGTCAGTTGTTTGAACTTGGACTCCCACATTCACTAGTCACCTTTGCACCCACTGTCCCACATTTGATAATCATTTGAAGCTAGGTTGTTTGAAAGTAGCCAGATGCTGATCAGCTTCAGAAATGCCTTTAAAGTTAGGCATTTACGTTTTTCCTTCTATGCGCTTGGCCAACAGTCTTACAAGATGATTCTCCACCCCGTCTATCTCTGTTCTCTCTCTCATCTCATTGTATTGCCAGGGCTGATCCCAAACTGCTGAGCTAAAATGGTCCTCCTTCCTCTGCCTCCTGAGTAGACAGACTCCAGGTACTTGCCGCCATGGCTACTAATTCACTTCTTTTTTTTTTTTTTTTTTTTTTTTTTTTTTTTTTTGTTTTTCTCTGTGATGCTTCTCCTCTCTGTTACAGCAGTTGTTTCTCCT